AGCCACAGCGAGGGCTTCTGCGATCCCTCCGGGCCCGGGGGGTCCGCGGGGTCCCGGACACCACCGACGGGGCGGGGTGCGGTGGAGGGGTGTGTGTGTGTGTGTGTGTGCGCGCGCGCGCGCGCTCGGAGCACAGCTTCAGCCTAGATGGAGCTGGGGCGACTTTCCACGGCTTTGATTTTGTGTTTCTGCGTTTCTCTCCAGTGTCCCAAATGTGACTTTCCCGCCTGGCGCCCAGACTATCTCCAGGGAGTGAGTACTCGGGAGCTGGGGCCGGGCAGACGGGATCCTCCGCGTGGCTCAGCTCAGAACGCCGCTCCCCGAGGGGGGTCCTCGGCCGGCTCAGCCTCTCGCAGGGCACACGCAGGAGGCCCCAGACCCGCTCCCCCAAACACCTCTTTGAAGAAAGCTGGGGTGGGGGGGTGAGGGTGGGGAGAGAAGAAAGCGAGGTTCTCAGGCTGGTGTTGAGGGATCTCACGTGCGGGCCCCTGGGCCTCAGTTTGCCCAACTATACAATGGAATGCTTCAGAAGTGTCCAAACCACTGCCCATTTGCAGCCTCCCTGTACTGCCTTCTAGTGCCAGGGAGACAGGACTGAGTGGGGAGAGCCCTGGAAGAGCAGCTGGGTGGAGGCTGGGGATAGGGTGGGGGGACTGGGCGGGGCTGAAGCCCAGGAAGGCTGAGCACACAACCGTGTTGCCCTGTGTACTACCGTTGGGAGCGCTTCCCGGCCCCCGGGCTTCTCTATTGGTCAGGGAGCCTAGGTGCTTGCCTTCCCGCGCCCCCACCCCTGGAAACAGGTGAGGCTCAGGACCTCCTGGGAACTAAGCTAATTGGGGGAGGGGGTTCTGTAATCACAAGATACCTTCAGTGCCGCGAGAAGCAGGTGGGGAAGGACAGCCTTCCCATGTGGAAGGGGGAATTTAGAGTGCTAAGCTAGGTGGGGAGGAGAATCCAATTAGGAAATCCTTCCCCACTCCCCTCCGCCACTGATTTGTATGACCCTCCCCTTCTTGTTAAAGCCTTGGATCTGCCATGATTCCCAGTCCCGCAGACGTGGACACACACACACTGGAGGTGTGATGTCTGTAGTGATCAGGCTTGGTGACTATTCTGTGCCTTGGTTTCCCCTTCTGAAATATAGGAAGGAGTGCCTTCCAGCCGATCCCCCACAGGGGCCAGAAGAGGGCTTAGGCTGTCCTTCATAACTGGAGAGGGAAAGGGTGTCTTTGACCAAAGGAGAAGAGTGCATGGGTTGATCCTGACATTATTTTGTTTGGTGCACATGGGTTGGTACTAGGGCTTGAGCTCAAGGCTTGGGCACTGTCTTTTAGCTGTTTTTTTTTGGCTGGAGCTCTACTACGTGAGCCATGCCTTCACTCCTGTCTTTGTAGTGGCTAATTGGAGCCAAGAGTCTCACAGACATTCCTGCCCAGGCTGGCTTCAAATCTTGATCCTCAGATCTCAGCCTTCTGAGTAGCTAGGATTACAAGAGTGAGCCACATACCTGGGCTTTGATCCAGATATTGAGCTTGGCACTGTGGAGTGGCCTGGTGTAAGTACTGAGGTGGGACCTGTCCCACCTCCCTAAAGGAGATCTCTGTTACTACTAGAGGCTTAGGATTCAGTCTTTAGTAAGTACCTATGGTTTACCTGGCATATTCTCCTTACCCAGACCAGAGAGGGAGTCACATGTCTTTTCTCCTGTGCCTCAGACCTCAGATAGGGTTGAGGGTGGTAGAGTTTTGTCCCCTTGTGTTTTTCCTATGTTGTCCTCTAGCACGAACATGGTCCCCAAAGTACAAGTCACTGGACTTTTCAGTTCTAGGCTTATGTATAAATAAGTAAGATGATCACAGTTGCTCTCTCTCTCTCTCTCCCCATTCTTTTTTCCTTCCTTCCTTTCTTCCTCCCTCCCTCCCCCTCTCTCTCCCTCTCTCTTTCTTTTTGTCCATCTTAGGTCCTGGGCACTGTCCCTGGGCTTTTTTTTTTTTTTTTTTGCTCAAGGTTAGTGCTGTACCACTTGAGCCACAGCTCTGCTTCCAAGTTGTTCTGTGATTAATTGGAGATAAGAGTCTCATGGACTTTCTTACCCAGGCTCCTTCTAACCACGATCCTCAGATCTTAGCTTCCTGAATAGCTAGGAGCAACGGACACCTGGCCTCCTTTCTTCCAATCTCTCTCTCTCTCTCTCTCTCTCTCTCTCACACACACACACACACTCTTTCTTTTCTCCTTCCTTCCTTTTCTTCCTTCTTTCCCTCCCTCTTTCTCTTTTCTTCCGTGGCACTGTCCCTGAGCACTTTTGCTCACAGCTAGCACTCTACCACTTAAGCCACTTGAGTGATTTTTTTGGGGGGTGATTAATTGGAGCTAAGTCTCATATACTGTTTTGCCCGGGCAACCGGGCATGATCCTTATATCTCAGTCTTGTGAGTAGCTGGGATTATAGGCATGAGCCACAGAGGCCTGGCTGAGGATCAGCTTCTGGTTACAAACATAATCACATCCATCTTCCAAGTGGGAAGACAGAGGCAGAAGAGGGGGCATCTGGAGCAGAGTTCTTCCCCTCCCTGCACTGACTGAATCTGGCAAGCCCCTAGCCTGAGCTTCTCAACTCCACCATTTAACAATCACAGATAATTAAAAATAATCGTGGGGTCTAAAAATCAATCAGCAGCCATAAAACGATAGCACCACAGGTTCAAAGAAGAAAACAGGGAGGACCAAGTGGAGAAGGTGGGAGCCAGGGCCTGGAGAAGGAGGGGGTGTCTCTGTGGGGTCTTAAATTGTCCCCAAAGCCAATCTCAGGAGACTACAAGAAAGGGATTGGGATTGAGTGTGTTTCCTTCTTTATGTATTTGCCATAGCTTCGATAACATTTTTTATTCTCATTTTTAAGCCACAAGCATTGTGGCTTTTCTGGCGGAAGCGTCCATTTTGAATACAGTGGAGCTGCAGCTTTGGAACGAGGGGGCCCCTGTTCTCAGCTGCATGGGGTACCCTAAATTGGCCAAATTAACTCCCTCCCTGCAAGTTCCTTAGGCTTGGAAGCGGCCTCCCCAGCCCGGGGTCCAGACCTGGTTCTGGTTTGTGTAGCCTTGATCAGAGGTGAAAGGAATTCGACTCCCCCTGGAAAGGGAGATTTGTTCTTCACAGGGGCTGTGCTTCCCCTGGGAGATGAACCCAAAATTTGATGTGCCCTACCCCCAACACAGAGCCCTCCTTAGAACTCCAAAGCTAGCGTGTCCCCCCCCCCCCCACCAGTGGCCTTTTAGTAATTAGTAAAATAGAATTGAGCCGTCCAAGGGGCAGGCGGGTGGCTGGGTCCTTGATCGATCTTGGGTCATTAAGCAAATTACGGGCAAGGGAGGGGGGTGGGCTGTGGGGGGGGTGCTTCTAATCCCACCACTATGGGGGAAGCTCTCTAGCCTCAATATTCCCTTTAGGAAAATTAGAAATGGACGCTTTATGGAACTTGGGGTACCTCATCCACACCTGCTGGGCTGTCGCAGTCCAATACTCACCCTCTCTGTGCCCAGCCCAGTAGTCTGGGGAGAAGCCTAGGGACCCGCCAACGCGAGAGCTCTGAAAGCAGGGGAGAAGAGGAGAGGGCAGGCTGAGCCAGTGGCCTTGGGGTTCAACGCACTCACAGTTAATTCCACTTCTCAGAACCACACCCCTCAAGCTCCGATTCTCGCTTAGTCAGTACAGGCGTTACTCCACTTCCTTTTGGGGGGAGGAGGGGGGCACCCTGTCTTCCCGGTCCTGACGT